AATAAAACATACTAAAATATATAATTTTCAAGCAAAGTCGACTAAAAATTCTAAAATTTAAAATACGTATTTAATCGAATAGGATTTCTAATAAAGTTCAAAGGTCGGTCAAAATTGGGTGTCAACAGCTGCCCCTTGGTTGATTGAAAATGAAGAATGAATTGTCAGGCAACCAACGTTGACTTAGTAGCCGATTTTGTCCGACCGGCGAAAGATGTCAGTTGGATCAATTGAAACGATATAGAGTTGAAAAGGATACGACCGAGACTTTGGTATTAAGCCGCCTACATATCTCTGGTTATACGAGAATCAGGTCGTGTGTAGTTCTAGATTCAAGAGCAAATGAAGCTCTTAAAAGTTGAAAGAGCGCTAAGGTGTTCGGAAAGCACGATATCGGCTTGAATGGATAAAATTAGAGTAGCGAGAAGAGAGATTGAGAGGCTAGAAGAGCGTGACAGACAAAGGAAGAGCGTGATAGAGTGAGGCTATCAGCCTTTGAGCGAAGCTCGGGGTTTGAAGAATTGATAGAGTCTTTGTTGTGATAGAGGATAGCATGATAATTGTGATCAAGGGCGATCGATTATATCATGTTTTGACTGCCATAAAAGTAAGAAAAATAAAATGAACGGAACATTCGATGGAGAGTGCTCTTCTTGTGTCGATTTCTTCATGTCTCGCTTTGCTAATGTGATTGTTGTATCATGGCTGGTTTCGCTGTGTTTCCTCGTCTTCATGTTGTTCCCTGCCCCTTTTTTTCTGAGTTGTATGATGTTATGATTTCTGTTGTTGATATGATCCATGTTTTTTTTGCTTCGTGATTCATCTATACGGGTTAGTCGAGTCCAGGCATAGTGTTGTTCATCCTTCGGCTTCCCTCCCCTTCATCTAAACCCTTTTTTTGTTTTATTTTCTGCAAATTCGTGAAGTGCTACAGCCTCAAGTTCTCATCGTTTTCATTACTAGTTTACGCAATTTGTATTTCCAGCGTCCCCTTTGTGACCTGAACGTTGAAAATTTATGGTTTATTAGCATGAGGTTATCGCATTAATCGCATGATCATAATGAGTTGCTGTGGAGTTTTTGTTATACAAGTTCGTCGTGTTATAGTTGTCCAATTTGATCCCGT